ATAGACTTAGGTGTTCCCAGATTTGTGATTTTACAGACTAAAGAAAGATGTAAACCAAATTATTTGCCAAATACATTGTAAGAGACCACAGATTGCTAGTTTAGAGCAAAGTCCAGCAATTGGTGACAGGTTTTCAATGTTATCTGATGGAATTTTAGCTTTTACATTGGCAAATGTTACTGGCCTGTTTAAAATAAGTCTTAAGGTTTTGATAGTATCAGGATGTCATGTCTTTTATTTAAATAGACTAATGATAGATAGTCCAACATAACTTTTCAAGAAAATGAACAAGATGGAAGCTTTTACTGAACCATCAAGAACCAATAGATGAAAATAAAATCAGTGAAGTAGACTGGAGGCATCTCTGGGACCAACAAAAGCAGAGTAGATGTATATTAGTATAAATAAACAATGGTAACTAAAAGCCATAACAACAAAAAGAAAACAAACAAGTGACATTTTTTTCTATTAGAAAATAAAAATATTTTTGTAAAAACTTGCTAATTTAGAGTTAACATACTGTAGCTCTGTAGTAGAGTTTGAAGTCAGGGATGGTAATGCCTCCAGAGGTTCCTTTATTGTATAAGATTGTTTTGGCTATCCTGGGTTTTTTGTTTTGTCATATAAACTTGATTATTGTTCTCTCAAGGTCTGTGAAGAAGTTTGATGGGATTTTGATGGGGATTGCATTGAATCTATAGATTGCTCCTGGTAGAATTGCCATTTTTACTATGTTGATCCTCCCAATCCAAGAGCAAGGGAGATCTTTCCATTTTCTGGTATCCTCCTCAATTTCTTTCTTCAAAGACATAAAGTTCTTGTCAAATAGGTCTTTCACTTCCTTGGTTAGAGTTACCCCAAGATATTTTATGCTATTTGTGGCTATCGTGAAAGGTGATGTTTCTCTGATTTCCCTCTCTGCTTCCTTCTCCTTTGTGTATAGGAGGGCAACCAATTTTTGAGGAGTCATAAAAAGTTAACATATAAAGACAAAATACAGTGTTAGCTCATAGCACTAATATATAAAGGCAACACATAAAGCTCTTCTGTTTCTTGTTTATAAAGCACTTTATTGTACTTTGTTAAAAGTATCTTTCTATAACTTTAGTGATTTAATAAAAGTAAAAAGATAAAAGATGCTTTAAAAAAATTCTAGTCCACAAAGACTTAACACATCAAAGACAAAAACTTGGTATCTTAGCATTTTGTGTACAAGTAACATTAAATTGCTACATATACCACTAATGTGCCAGTATATATGAAATATACACATATCACATCACATTCTGCCTCACAAGGAATAGCATATTTTATTACAAATATAAATATTGAGTCCAGTAATTTAAGATTTAATTAACATAGAGTACTATATATCATGTCTTTTTTTAACAATACTTGTTTTATCTAAATAAATTTATAGTGCATAATTAATGTCATACCAATGCATTTTTTAAAGTTTTTAAACATTCTTTGTGTATATATTTTATTTGTATTTATGTGCACTGTATGTGTGTGCCTGATGCCAGAGGAAGTAAGAAGCAGGTGTCACATCTCTTGGAATAGCAGTTATAGTTGTGAGATGCATTGTGTGTGTTGAACTTGAGAGCACTGAAAAGGTAGCAAGTAGCAAGTGCTCTTAACTGATGAGCCACTGTATGCAAATATACAGGCTTGTCCTTTTCTATTTCTTTAACTTTATATTTGCATTTTGTCATGTAGAAGAAAGTTTACAATTTATTATTTAAATGCACAATATTAGTTTTTTCTCTTACAAACTCTCAATGAAGATTTTTTAACCCGTTTTAATGCACACATACACAGTAAAGGTACATACATACAAGGTAAATACACATTAATCTTGATTGTTCCTTTACTGCACACATACATATACATTTACCTTGATTGTTCCTTTCTGTATTATTTTTTATGTTTTAGGTAAAATTTAGAAAACATTTTCAAGTAAAGCAATTATTTCCCAATGAAATCGAACAAGCTGTATCTGAAAAGAAAGCATGCCTTTGCCTTACTGTCTAACCTTTACTTACATAGGGAAAACTTATTTAAAAGGCTGTTTTTAAGACAGATTTCGGTTCTCATTGCCTTATATGGTACTTTCTTGTTTAAATTTACTTTTCAAGTCACTTACCATCAAAAAAAATTTACTTTTCAATGTACACAGCAAAGATGTATCACATGATGCTTTGATATATGTCTGCTAGTATTCAAGGGGACGAGCTGTTCCATTTTGTAAAGTGACAATATAGGACAGTGTGATGACAATTACTGAATGAACAGGACAAATCAGTCCTAGCTTTTTTTGAAAAGTCTATACATGAAAAATTAAAATTGGATACAACCCTAATTATGGAACCCTATGAGGAAAAATAAGTACAATGTAAAAAACATACTTGCAAAACTTTATTTTTCTCCTTGTTCTAGGATAAATGAAAAAGATATATATTATATTTGCTATGTAAATAAATTCTTAATCATGTTTTAACTAATCAATAAATACTGGTGATATACGGTCTGCAGCACTGATATATACCATATACCTATTGCTCATTTTTAAAAATAATTGTCTACCTTAGTGTGTGCACAATGAGATAAAGATAATTAATTTTATAGTGCACATACACATTTTAAAGAAATAACATAATACTCCCTTACGTATTTTACACATGTTTATGTAATTGAGTAAGATGTGCAGAAAAACAGTGTTCCAGCTAAATGGAGATAGATATAAAATAGTCACACTTTACATTAAGCACATGAAAAATTCTGAAAATACTTCTAGAAATTGAAAGTATTGATTTGTGAGCATGTTGTTTTATATTTTGTAATGGAAGAAAATATGGAGAGGCAAGGAGCAGAGGGACATCCTGAAGCTGTACTTTTGAAGAAAGTGGTTTGTTTTATCTGCATTTCAATTAATAAGTGCTTCGTGGCTTTTGAAAAAAATCAAAAGCACTTTTCATTATTCACTGACTGTAATAATTAATCCCAGATTTAGTCTTTTCTGTCTCTTCAAGTTGTCTTTTATTGAATTCCTCTTTCAAATGTACTGACCATTCTAGAGGTTGAAAAAATTTATGGAGGGAATGCTTTATGAAAGCAGATGAAGTTTTGCCCTATCTGTATAAAAAGATTTCAAATGTAAGAAATCTAAAAGAAGTCGGGTAGTGGTGGCATATACCTTTATTTAATCCCAGTACTCTGGAGGCAGAGGCAGGTGGATCTTTGTGAGTTCAAGGTCAGCCTGGTCGACAAAGTCTATAAGAGCTAACTTTAGGACAGACTGCAAAGCTACAGAGAAACCCTGTCTCAACCCTTCCCCCCACCAAAAAAAAAATGTTCAACATCCATAGCCATCATGGAAATGCAAATCAAAACAACTCTTATATACACCATCTTATACCAGTCAGAATGGCTAAAATCAAAAGCACCAATAATAGCTTATGCTGGAAAGGATGTGGAGTAAGGGGAACACTTCTCTACTGCTGGTGGCAATGCAAACTTGTACAATCACTCTAGAAATCAGTATGACTATTTTTCAGAAAATTGGGAGTCAACCTAATTCAGTACCCAGCAATATCACTCTTGGGCATATACCCAAAAGATGCTCAATCATACTACAAGGACATTTGTTCAACTATGTTCATAGCAGCATTATTTGTAGCCAGAACCTGGAAACAACCTAAATGCCCCTTGACTGAAGAATGGATAAAGAAAATGTGACACATATACATAATGGAGTACTACTCAGAAGTAAAAAACAATGACATCTTGAAATTTGCATGCAAATAGATGGAATTAGAAAGAAAACATTTTGCATGAGGAAAGCCAGAACTGGAAAGATGAACATGTATGTACTCACTCATAAGTAGATAGTAGCTGTAAAGTACGGTCCTAGAGAAGCTACGTAACAAGGTGAACCCTAAGAAAAGCATACATAGATTCATCTATAAAGGGGAAATCGACAAGAACGTCTGACAAAATTGGGGGTCTGGGGGTAGGGAAAGAAGGGAGAGTGGGTGAAAAAGAGAAGGGATGAAGGGGAGAGGAAGAGAAACTTGGGGAACAGGATAGTCAAGATGGAGCAAGGATAGAGATGAGAGCAAGGAAAGAGATATTTTGATTGAGGGGGCCATTTTATGGGGCTAGCAAAGAACCTGACACTAGAGAAATTCCCAGAAATCTAAAAGGATGACCCCAGCTAAGACCCTAAGCAATAGTAGAGAGGGTACCCGAATCGACCTTGCCCTGAGGTTAGATTGATTAATATCTTAAATGTCACCATAGAACCTTCATCAAGCAACTGATAAAAACAGAGACCTGCAGTGGAACACTGGGTTGAGCTCCCAAAGTCCAGTTGAAGCATGGGAGGAATTAGAACATGAGCAAGAAGGTCGAGACCATGATGGGGATACCCACACTGAAACAGTTTATCTGAGCTAATATGAGCTCACGAATTGCAACTGAACAGTTAAAGAACCAGCATATGGCCAAACTGAATGTGGGTGACAGATGTATGGCTAGGGCAGACTGCAGGGCCACTGGCAGTGGCATAGGAATTTTCCTTACTGCTTACACTGGCTTTTTGGGAACCTATTCTCCTGCTCAGCCTAAATATAGTAGGGAGGGCCTTGTGCCTTCCCCAAAGCAATGTGCCTTACCTTCTCTGAGTCCTGGATGTAAGGTGGGGTGGGAGGGAATGTGGACAGAAAGGGAGCAGAGGAGGGAGTAGGAACTGGATTGGTATGTAAAATGGAAAAAGATAGTTTGTTTTCTTTTTAAACAAAAATATTTTTATACAAAAATAAAATAAAAAGAAAGAAAAGTAAAAAAAATAGAAGCATAGAAGAGAATCAACTAGACTATTTGGGAGAAACAAACTGTTTTTGTTATGTTGGATCCTAGAAGAATATCTAAAAGAATAAAGTCAATAAGGGCACACACAATGTTTTTGTGTAAATAAATACATTTGTAGTTTTATTTAACACCATAATTTACACCCAGAATTTGGTCATTTATATTTTGTGTTATATAAAGATCCAAATAATTTAATAAATTTCATAGCATAGTTCTATACATTACCACTGATCACTATAATTATGTAATGATGTCTTTACAAAGGGAGGGGCTCACCAAAATCTGTTCTTTCTCTTGAGTCCTGTGGCCCTCCTCACCATCATCCTGCCCTCAATACCGAACCATCCTTGCAATAAATTATACCAATCAAGAGAGTCTTCTTGCTACTATGGCGTTTGATATAGTGGGCTATCATAGAAAGGTAATAAAAAAAAAGGACCCACAGAAATTAAGTTCAGGGTAAGGCTTCTTCTTATACCACATACATTCAATAAATTTCTATCACTGTGATATCAACAGATAAGTCTGTTTTTCTGTTTTTAAAGGATATAATTTTCCTCTGTCTGTATTACATTCTGTGGTTAGATAAAGGCCACATGGATTTGTTGCATTTAAAGACATTCTCATTTCACCATGTGATGATAAGAGGTCACAAATAATTCAATTCATCACTGGGAGCTGTCCTGATAAGATGAGGTAACTATGATTTCATTTCCTGTCTATCTAATGCAAACAGAATGTAAAATAAAAAAACACAAAGTTTATAACCAAAGAAACAAATGATATGGATAAGGAGGATGATCAAACAATATTGACTGCCAAGTGGAATATTACATTTTAGTATATTCACATGTACAGATAATCTTTAAATAAATTTATGTTTTTATAAAAAATACACACAGTACATAAAAGCAAATATATGCCCATTGAGTCTTCATCAATATTCTGTGGAAACTGTTTATAAATGCAAAGTTATACAGTCTTTAGAATTAAACAATCTTTGTATTACATATTTTGCAAGATAGTTAACAGAAGAAATCATAGAAAATTTCATTTTACTCAATATTTAACATGCCAAAGATCACTGAAGAATTATTCCTGGTCAAATGATTATTTAATTTAGCTTGAAATATATACTGGTTTAAATAAACCTCCAGTGCATGTAGGATTCCACAGGGCCTTAAAAAGAAGAAAATAAAAGAAATGAATGGCAAATAACAAAATGAAATGAATATTTAAATGATGATTTTAAATGTTTAAACACAAATGAAAATACAGATTGATAAGAAGCTCATCTCTTGGTGATTTTATGAAAAATTTGTTATTAGCATTTACAAAGAATGTTTATTTTAGTAATGTAAAACAAGTAGAAAATACAGTTTTCTTCAACTCGTTATATATTCTTCCAATGGAAAACAGTCAGAAAATTAGGTAATAGGTAAATAGCACAAAGTTCTCTTGAAGACTGTGTATACCACAGCTACTATCTGAGAGCTACACACAAAGCTTCAGTATGATTTCCATAGTCTGCAACTACTATTACTCTAAGTTCCAGTCTGTCATTTCTGCTGAAACCTCACATAACAGGAAATTACATCATTTCAGGTTATTTCACACATACTAAACAGGGATATCCATTAAGTAAATATCCATGTAAGAAGCGTAATATCTAAGATGTGTAGAACACTTCATTCATTCCTAAGGACAGTAAAATTGTTGTTAAGAGATCTAGAGAACTACAGAATCAATACTATAAGACTGTGTTATGTACCAATGTAAAGGATGTGTGTGTGTGCATGTGTTTGCTACATGTCAGTATATAAAATATAACGACATATCAGAATGGCAACTATAAAGTATCTCAAACAGTACTGGCAGATTCTGAAGAAATCCCACACTAAGAGAAACTTTCTTAATTGAGTCCACATCAAGAAATCCTACAAGAAAAGGTTCTCAATAACAGAGGCACAGGCAGCAGAGCCTGCGGAACAGTTCTCTAAGGGACAGAGAACTATAATAAAATCTCATAATCAGGGAGTGGAAAATCTGAGCAGTCATTAGGTTTGAGAAATTCTGATTTCATCCTGCAAAGTTTGCTGAGACATGTAGTGTGTGTGTGTGTGTGTGTGTGTGTATGTGTGTGTGTGTATGTGTGCATGTGTGTGTGTTTGTGCATGTGCACAGTGTATGTTTGTGTATGTTTGTGTACCAACATTATACATAAATAGCATTTTCAAGAGAAACTTGTCTATTGTCTCACAGAATATTGCTCATTTCTTGGACATGTAGGCTGATAAGTGCATACTGTAAATGAGGCTGCAAGGCTTGGATGCATTCAAATTAGTCCTCTGAGGCTATAGCTTCAGTAGACAAAATAGTACTTAATTCTCTTTGTCCTTAAAAGAAAGCTTAAAAAAAAGAAAGAAAGCTCACTGAAAATAAAAAACCAGAATTTTTTTTTAAAAAAACATTTAAAAGTTCACTTTTCAAGGTGTATATAGTAAGAAGGAATGCTATGAGTCATCCTAACCATATAGTAAGTCCCAGACCAGCTTAGGCTAGAAAGACCATGGCTAAAAACAGAGGGAAAAAGTTCTCACTTGTGATTTTGCAACCTAGATTCCAAAACCAAAAAGTTGGAAGTTATGAGATTTCAAGCTTCTCATTGTCTTTACTTGAGCCTAGAAAATGAACAGCTCATCCAGTTCCAGGTTTTACCTTAAACTTGAAGAAAATTCTAACCTTTTTATACTATTTTTCTTCCAGAAAATAATTCTATGTTGGACTATAACGTCGATTTAGTGGATTAAGTCCAAATTCATAAATCCATTTATAAACATAAAATTCATAAAATAATGATAAATCTGAAATAATTCTGATATTTATAGAACTGACTCTTTAAGTATTCTGAACTGTAAATTATACTTTTAGAATAAATTTTCTATATACTAATTCAGTCTCATAAATTTACAATTGTAATTACCATCTTAACTCAGCATCACTAAGAGTATAATTTCCTTGCATTCTTACTTTTCAGTGCATAAGGTTAATGATATATGTGGCTTGCTTTTAAGAAAGTTTCTAATGGAATAGTCTAAAAATTCCTGCTCCTGTGCCAGTTCTGTATAAATACACTTCTGAAACTTTTTCCCTTAATTCTCTATGACTACACTGTAAAATCACTTTATATCTTTTTTTTAAACACTTTTAATCTACAAATGTCAATGTCTTTGTTTCCTAAAAAAATCCATTTCAGTTTTCTCACTGGTAAAGGTAAGGTAAGCATGAAGACCCTCAAACCAGAGAGTGTAAAGCAAGTGGCTGAGAATTATCAACCTCCAGATAAAGAATCAAGTATTTATAGATTATTTATATTGCGTAAGATATTGCATATAACCTGGAGAGGCATGTAACCTGTATATACAGTAGGATGTGCAACTACTGGACCCATTCTATGAGAACTTGAGAACGTGAAGATGAGCCTAAGGTGACTCCTGGAACACACAGAGATATAAGAGGCAAATATATTAGTTCTTCCAGAGATAAAAGAGGAGAGGGCAAGGGAGGGGAGGGAAAAGGAAGAGAGAAGATAGAGGAGAGAAAAGTATAGGAGAAGAGAATGAAGAGGGAGAACATGTTATCAGGAACTCTGGTTGAGTTTAGTTTTTCTTTTATTTCTTATACGTAGAGGCTATGTAAGGGGGTTACTGAGTCATTGTTCCTTCAGATGGATATGCAAAGGAGGCCTGAGTCTGCTGTTCCCACAGGTGGGTGGGACTTGTAGGCCTGAGTGTCTGCTCCCCAGATGACAAGACAAAAGAAGTCTTTGTCCTCTGTTCCCACGGATAGGCTTTGATTCTCTACTGTGGTTTTCCCTGACACACTCCATCTGTTACCTGGCTTGATAGCACAGAAGTCCCTTTTGTATACTAGGTGGTCTAATCTTTACATTAATCTGACTATTCTTTCTCAGCATTGTGGCAAAGATAATACAATTTTCTCACTAACTGGGACTTTCAAATGGTCTTGAGGGAGGATGTTATAATAGAATTTCTAACAAAGATGCTTTTCTCTCTACTTCCAAGGCACACAGCTCACCCTTCTCTGTTTCAGTGTCCCTCTGTAATCCCCACTCTCAGCCTCTCACATATCAGTAGCTCCGCCCTGTGTTTCCTTTCCCTTGGACCTTTCTGATGCCTTTTATCATTTCTTCGTTTGTTATCCTTAATTTAATTACACAGATTAAGCAATTGCACACTTGATGAGAGACTATCTGGGGCTTTTCATTTAAAGGTTCCAGAGAAATTGTGATATTTGCTGAATATTAATTCAATAAATTTTCAAAGCTGTGTTATAAGACCATCCATATTGGACAAACCAAGCATCTGTGAGACATAGAAAAAAAAACCTGTTTACCATTATCACTTTTAACCAATGTTCTTATCAGGCATTTCATATAATACAAAAGATAATTGTCCTAAAGCAAAGAAAACTCTACAGTTCTTTATACAGGTGATTTAATTTCTAGGTATAAACAAAAATACCAGAGTCAGGTGAATATTAACAGATGGACCATTTGGAGAAAGACATTATTTTGTCTGGCAAGTATTGGGACATATGCATACACATCAGAAGTTCTGACCGTGAAAGATGACAGCAGCAGTGTAGTGTGGCTAGGACGATTTAATACAGTACAGGTTGTCAGGGACCAATGAGAATGCTGAGTCGACAACATTCAACTAAATAACATATCAGCATGCTACAAAAACTTCCCACTCTAAAAAACAGCTAATCAACAGTACAGTAAAAGACAAGCATCCTCATCTCCGTTCTGAATGAGACAGGATAAAGTTCTCATATATCTAAATTCTCTTTGTACAGTAACTGCCAGGGTAACCACCAAAATAAAATATAATAAAGGCAGGAGATGTTTCAAAATACACAGAAAATTGTACTGAGACATTCTCTCAATATTTTCACATACAATGTATATTTTACTATTTTTCTAGCCTAAGTAGAAACTTCTTATATAAAGCATATTTCCATGAGAAAATAAGCTAAAATATTTGAAAAACACTAAGTAATCAAACCTTGATATAATACACATATACATATATTCAACTAGGTTGAAAATATATGTGATTAACTTCAACACAGTTTTAATAGTCAAATTAAAGCCACTGATAATACATATACCCACCATAACAATTTAATATTTGATGAAATACCTGGCAATTTTACATTTTAAAAAGTGATAGAAATCTTAAAAATCCAATTATATTAAAGATATTATGAAAAAATTCAAAACACACAAAATAGTAGATCTCATTACTCAAAATTCTAATCCTAAAAGACATATTTTGTGATTATTCTGAGTAAAATCAAGACATTGCTTGAATTAAAATTTATACTGGAAGTCAATCATATTAATAAAAAAACCTTTTATAAAACATAGCAAGAAAATAAAAATTTCACTAAAATATTAAATTCATTAAATCCTAAATTTTCTCACTGCTAATAATTGATACCTTCCCTGTTGAATTTAGCTATTCACTCTGAAATAGTTTAATTAAATCATTATTTGGAGTATCTCTCAAACTTTAAATATTGACAGACAGTATATGTGCTCTACGGAGGCCTTTATATACAGGTGATATATTCAGAAAGATCTCAATCGGCTGATAAGTTTTTAAAGGAAACTGTGATGTTTCATAAGTCTCCCCATCCATCTTCTATCTGATTTCACAAGGACAGGTAACACTTAAATTATTTGGGTTCGAACATCCTTATAAAATTGTTTCATGACAAAGTTTGTTTTTTTAAAAAAAAAAAACCTTTAAATTTGTCTGTAGTAAACTTCTATTAGCATATTTAATTCTGGATTGATATGGATTGCACTATTATGCAGCATGTAACAAAAACCATGTCCTTTATGGTAATGTTGACTTGGTATTTTGCAATCTGATATTCACACCTATGACCAGTGATCACAATTGGTCCATAAAGAGCAAATGTGGTTGATATTGACAGATTCAAAAACCAGGTAGGAAAGCATAAGAATAAAAGATGACGTGCAAGGTTTCGACAAAAATCTTTTTTTCTTCCCTGAGAAGCTCTAGCAAATTATAAATAGGTGTCTTATACACATATGCAGGTGTGAATGTGTTTATCCTAACTTAAAACAATTTTATGACACTATGAAGAAAATATGATAGAGATAGTGATTCATATGCACATGTAAGTTCAATTATTTACAATTAAGTATTACAGTTTAGAGATGACAGTTCCTGTTCCTAGAGAAGTGTGGATGAGTCACATGTGTCCTAGTTATTATGCAATTCATAATTCTAAATGCCTTACCTTTAGTTGATTTACAATACTCCTTTACTCAGGTCTTCATATAGAAAGCGCACTCCGGTGCATTTGGTTAAATATAGTTACTTTGCTAAGTTATGTGCATTTAGCATCATTTACTGATTGTGTTATATATAAATGACTAGGAATGGCTAAGCATATCAGCAAGAACTGAGTACTGTCTGATGTTAACAGCTCTCCAGACTATAACAAGTGCTTGGCGTGGGAGGAGCTCTTTGTGCAGGAGCTCTTTTGAAATCACTACCAAAGAAGCATTCTTTCTTGGCCTCAGGTCATGAGCTGATGTGGGAGAATTGTCTGTATTTTGTCAATCATATTTTAAATAAATGCTGATTGGCCAGGCAGGAAGTATAGGTGGGAAAACCAGAAAGGAAGTAGAGGTGGAGCAAAGAGAATGGGAGTATTCTGGGAAGCAGGAAGCTCCCTCCACCATTTCTGCCCAGATCATTGAAGACGAAACATGTGAGCTGCCACGCTGAGAAAGGTACTGAGCTGTGCGGCTAACACAGATAAGAATAATGGGTTAATATAAGCTATAAGAGTTAACAAGAAGCCTGAGCTAATTGGCCAATCAGTTTATAACCTAATGTAGACTTCGTGTGATTTTCTTTGGGACTTGCCAGCTGTGGGGTACTGGGCGGGACAGAAACCCCCAACAAGCTGGCCCTCATGTTACAATGAGCAACTTTGCCTTCATCACATGAAAACAAACTAAGAACAATGAAGACTTTAAGAGAACTATCATGCTTCTCACTCCTTTTTAAAATTTGTGTTTGCATATTTATAAAGCCAAGTACTATGGTGGATTCTGTGAGAAAGAATATAATGATCACCAGAGAAGCAAATTCACCCCGCAGACATCAGTTCTCACCAGCATCCACAATGGGGTCTAAAATGTGACACTGGTACATTCAAGTTTTGCATTATTTGTCGATGGTGAGTCACTACTGAGCCACTTAGAATGAAGATCCTCAAACATTAATTCCCAAACCACACCCAAATGTGTATGGGTCTTCCTTGTCTTTGTATTAAGAATGTATTACCTTCCCTAACAATCCAGGTGCCCTACAGATCTCATGATAAAAATGGTTTCACCTTCATGGAATTTAGATAACTCACTTAAGAACTGAGTGCTTTGAAGTAGCTGGATTCTAAGCTAACCTGTAGTGTACATGTGCTGTGATGTATATTGCAATATGATTTGATGGAGATTGTGCTTTTATAAATCTTTTTGAAACATCTCTGACATTCAGACATACAAATATACAGATAATTATCTAAAATGCATGTTATCTAAGAGCTGATACACAAATATGTATTTACAATCGTCATATTGGGGGAAAATTTCAAAAGAGATAAACAACATATTACTTGTAAACTATCCTAAAATTATAAAACTAGTTTCTCGCAAAAATAAAGATTAAAAGCATGAAGATAACATCTAAAACTAGGCTAAAAACATTGTTGTATTGGTACCTGTAATTACTTAAACATCTATAAGAAAAGATTTAAAATGTATATTATAGAAAAAATTCCCTGAAAATACATAGCTTTTAGTAGCTTTGAACTAAAATTAAACTTTGAAAACAATTTGTCCTAGAAGTCAAAACTGTTTTATTTTGTGACAGAGATGTGTATACAATATAAAAATAATGCTGCATTTTGCATGGCAACACACGATTGACTTCTACGTTTACGCTAGCTGATAACATGAGATGTAAATATAAATACATGCTATCATTATAGGGAAATGTTCACAAAATTCAGAGCTTGAATGTATCCAGTTCTGTCAACAAAGCTTACTAAGTGTAAGAACAGGTTCTCCCAATAGACACCAAGGAGCCTTTACTTTTTAGCAGAGGGGAGTGAAAACATTTCAACAAAACACAAATTTTAGAGATATGTTTAAGAAAAATTGTTATTTACATCAGCTTTACAAAATCATTTAGGATTTCTGGAGGGATATCGGGTTTGAAACATTTTACAATCTGATCAACAAGTACTTTGACATTAAGAAAAAAAAAACACTAACTTTTAATTAAATTACTTGCATTGCCTACATTGAAGCCCAAGAGCTAAAACATTATGGTAAAATTGTTTACAAAGTTGGAGGTTTTTTTACATGCGTGAATGTAAAAATGTTTGGCCTTAGGTCATTGCAAACCTAATAACTTTATTAAATTGTGAATAAATAAATTAGAATTTTCTTAAAAACAAATTATCCTATTATTATTATTAGAGTTTTATTATATTATAAATTATAGTATTCTTATGCACATTTTCATGTATCTTAAAATTCACCAGGTTAGAAATGTTGTTGTTGTAAAAAAGTTAATAGAACTTTCGTATGCCATTTGGAGCCTGGAATTATCTTTTTCAGTTCAACAAGGTGTTTGGGGATGTTTAGAACAAGTGATGAACAGAGAACAGCCCAATTCTATGCAGTCAACCAGGGACCCCACAGAAGAGGCAAATAATTCAGAGCTGTGAAAGTCTGAAAACCAATAAAGAAGATAAAAATGGTCTTATATAGTTACTTACATCACAGCCTAGAAGTTCAGTCTGCGTGGATTTATCTACTCGTGAAGCAAAAGCCTTCTGTAAATGTTGCACTTTTTCCTGCAAAGTGGAAAAGGAAAATTACAATAATGGTAAGCCATGTGCTTCAATGCTAATATTTCCTGCTTACTAACATTGGATTAATCTCTAACTCATGAATCTCTTTGTGTGTGTGTGTGTGCGTGTGTGTGTGTGTGTGCCCTCAATTATAGTACTGTTTTTGAACAAGTGCAAATATTTACAGCCTAGTTTTCAGTCACAGCCATCCCATGGGGCCAACTTTTCATCTAGTCTAAGAGTAACTGTGGTGCTTTAGATAAGTGATAGCCCCCCATAGTTGCAGGCATTTGAACATTACTGCTAAGGTGTGTGTTGTAATTCTGCAGCAATGACACACACATGTAGGTTGGGAAGAGAAGGTACTGCCAGCTCAGCTAAGAAAAGAAAGATGAATTATATGGGGACCAACTTAAAGTAGAAATGTGTGTGACATGGGGCTTTTGAGGAGCGCAATAATTCATAAATACCTGAAGTCAGAGATTACTACAACAATGGGCCTAAATAGCTAGAAGTTCAAAAACTGCTTAGAGTCAGGAAAGAAACAACAGTGAAGAACGAAGCCAGTGGAGTCAGGTCAGAAGTGCCGAGGGATGAGACCAAAGAGGCAAGGCCAAACTAGACAGGAAAGAACCCTGCACAAATGATTCTGAGGTAATTTCCTTCTCAAAATACTATTCTGCAATTGAAAGGTCAGAAACTCATTTGAGATAAATCGCAACACACTTGTCTGTCATCTTATGTTATGCATAAGATGAAATCAGAGCCAAGTATCACAGAGGAGAGGGGCATCTGGCAATAAGTTTTTAGGCACCTGTGAGTTTTTCTTTCCTTCCTTCCTTCCTTCCTTCCTTCCTTCCTTCCTTCCTTCCTTCCTTCCTTCCTTTCTTTCTTTTTTTTTGTTCTCTAATCCTCTAAGCAAACAAAATTTCCCTAGCCCCTCTAGGGATAGTGTAATGTTAGATTGATTCAATTTCTCAGAGGCAACTTTTACAAATAAAATAATTTTAAACGTGATTATATAATTGACTTTAGCGTTTACTTTTCAAGAAATTAACAACTTGATATTTCTTAATTAAAACACACAGGTTGGTTCTTTCATATTTAAAATTAAGAAAAATAAAATGTGTGCATAATTTATAGAAACATGGCTCATTTTTGTAGAGAGTCAAGAAGAGAGAAAGAAGATGTCTCCTGATTTATATTTGCTAATACTTGGGGCACTAAATATATGTTGATTTGAGGTAATGTGTACTATTGCTACAAATTTTTTTCCTAGCCTAACCTCTTAGCAATTAAATTGTAGATTAGAGTATGACACTGTTGTATAGTAAAAGATAACTTTTTATCATAAAAAATGACTGCATATAAGCAAAAAATACAGTTTCTGAACTGATGGAGAACATTTAACTGCATTTACATTTTCTTTCCTACTGTAATCTTTACCACTATAATTATCAGTACTTACAGCAGATGTAAATGTGATACAGGCTAGATGTCAGGCACTGAAGCAAGTAATATGCACAATTTATGTATGTAATGATTTTTTTAAAATATTATTGTCACTTAAGTACATAAAATAGACACTGAGTTAAAGATCACACAAGACAGTAAGTAGAACAGAAAATTCAAACCTTCCTCTGTCTCAATTTCCATCTATCGTCGGTTGAAGGTTCCCTCTGATCCTGATTTCCTCGCTCACGTTCTGTTTCTCATTTGGAGACTGAGACAGAGACCCACATTGGAGCACTGGACTGAGCCCCCAGGGTCCAAATGAGGAGCAGAAGGAGGGAGAACATGAACAAGGAAGTCAGGACCGCGACGGGTGCATTCACCCACTGATACAAGGGGACTGATCTAATGAGAGCACACCAAGGCCAGCTGGACTGGGACTGAAAGAGCATGTGATCAAACCGGATTCTCTGAATGTGGCTGACATGGGGGCTGTCTGAGAAGTCATTGAGAATGGCACTGGGTCCTGTTTCGTCTGCATATACTGGCTTTTTGGGATCCTAGTCTGTTTGGATGCTCACCTTCCTAGACCTGGTGGGAGGGGGGAGGAACTTGAACTTCCCACTGGGCAGAAAACCCTGACTGCTCTTAGGACTGGAGACGGAGGAGGAGAGGGAGTGGGGGAGAGGGAGGGTATTGGGAGGAGGGGAGGAAGTGGAAATTTTTATAAATTAATAGTAATAATAATAATAATAATAATAAGTAAAAAAATAACTGTAATAAAAAACCCAAAACCTAAAAAAAAAAACTTCCTCTATCCTCAACCTTAGTGTTCTTATATACAAAGATATCCCAACTCTGAAAAACTATGAAGAAAAGTTTTTGTCTCTATGTCATATATTCGAGAAAACATATCAAGTAAATAGTTTCTGTAGTAATTGTACAACAGTAATTGCAGGGTGGTAACAAACTATTCTTGAGGTCCACCTGATTATATTTTTAGATTTTACTAGGTTTTAGTTGTCTGTGGAAGTAACTTAAGATGGCTTTAGATTTACCAATGTATTTTCTGTAAAGGTTACAAGTCCACAGAATGCCTGCTTCCAAATATATAAGTAATGTATTTTACAGCAGAAGTCAGGTGTGACGGATAAGGTTATTATTGAATTATAACAAATTTTGAGGGAGAGCAATGTGGCAAAATAAACATGTAAAGGCCAAATTTTGAGAAGGCATGAAATTCCTCTAATTGCCATGATAATTAATCACAGCAGAATATTCTAAGAATGTTCTATTTATCTTAAGTGCCATATTCAATTACAGACATATTGGGGGTGGGGACATTTGTATGTGAGTGAAAAAACAGACATTAATAAACTGGACATCTACAGCATATTCAATCCACAAATTCTAATTTCACATGTTGGCATCATCCTCACACTTCCTGCCCTAGGTTAGATACCCAGCATTCACATGATAGTTCACAATCACCAATAACTCCAATGCCAGGAGATCCAACCATCTCTTCTGACCTCTGAAGGCACCAGAAATGCATCGAGTTCACATTCATACATACAGGCAAAAAATATACACAAATGAGATAAATAAAATAAAATTTAAAACACGATTGTATGTATGTAACATTTCTACATACAAATAGCAAACACACTTAGAAGGAGATCTTGAAATACTCTTGCTCTCAAAACAAAGAAACAGAAAAACTGGAGAAATAAAACTAACCAAGGAAACCCTAGGATGAAAATTGTAAGACCCTGAAGACAGAGACTGGGTAAGACACTAGAAGATAAAAAGATTTCTTGTGCTTATGGATTAGTAGAACTCATATAGTAAAAAATGAACATCCTGCCAAAAGCACAATTTACAGAATCAATGCAAACCCAAGTCAATCAAAATCCAACAATATTTTTCACAGAAGCACTAAAACTAAGTCCTGAAGTTCATTCAAAATCACACACACACACTCCAAATAACTAAAGAAATCCTAAGTAAAATTAGTAATAATGGAGTGATTCTTATATCAAATTTCAATCTAAGTTTGAAAGTTATAGTAATAAAGACAGTATGGTACTGGTACAAAGACAAGCAGATAAGTGGAAGAAAATAGAAGACCCAAACATGAGTAAACATAATCACAGCTGTACGATAGATATTTGGCAAAGATGTCAAATACATACAGAAGGAAAAAAAGGACATAATGAAAGAACAGTGCTAGGAAAACTGAATTCCCAAAACAACTTATAAGCAATACATTAATTAAAACAGAAAGATCACGAAATTGAGCGGGATTGGACAGCTACACAGCAAGAGTCGCTGGAGAGGAGGTGCAGAAGTAATGTAAATATAATCCTTATGTATGACATTTTCAAAACTAAATTTAAAAAGCAGTATATTTAGTGGAAAAAGTCTAATTTACTTTGTTTTATTTTTAAATTTAAATTTCTTTAACTTCTTATGTCTATTCAATGCCCGAGGGAGAAAAATGGCACCACTGAAGTATGTTTTTCCATTGCTTATGAACCAGTTAAGTCACATGTCACTGAAGCAGCATTGCGAAAGGCAACTACTGTAGAATGAGATACTAGGAGGAGCTATGGAAAAGACAGGAAAACTTTTTCTTTAGAGAAGCTTTAAAAAATAAAATCAGACCTAACTCTCCCCATGTACAAAATCCAAATCAAAAGTTATCAAGCACTTGGTGCTGGAGAGCTGACTTAGCAGGCAAGGGCCCTGGTGGTTCTTCCAGAGAACTAAGCTTTGATGCCTAGTATTTCACAACCATTTGTAACTCTAATTCCCCAGGATTCCATGCCCATTTCTGGCCTTTGTAGGCTCCAGACACACAGATACATGCAGGCAGAACACACACACACACACACACACACACACACACACACACACACACACATATATATATATATATATATATATATATATATAACATAATAAAATAAGATTTTAATTGTTTCTAGGAACTTAAATGTCAGACCCACAACTATCAAGTGAAGAGAAGAAAACATAAGATGCTTCGAGATAGTGGAATGGACCATGATGATTTGAAGAAGACCCTCGGAGGACAAAGTTATCACAGACAAAGAGGATTGCAACAAACTATGAATTGTTATTACAACAACCATGGTGGGATGCTATGGGAGAAACTGACGATAGTCGCTGCACACTACTGCAAAACTGGAGGCTAAAGAACACGAAGCCATTGTTGTTATCCCTCATTTACTGAAGACAGCTTGGCAAAGAATAGGTTTAAATTAGGAAAACTTATTTCTAAAACATTTAAAGAACATAAAGTCTGCTGTAAAATAGTATGGGTCTAACAGCATGAATCTACAGCTTATAATGATGGAAATGAAATACTGTTAATTAACAGGAAGGAAGCATAATGGCTAACTTTTAACATGGAACTGTGATGTAATTCATTATAACAAAATTCACACAGTGTGGTAGATCGACTTTATTCTATGAATAAGTGGGTCAATGGAATTTGAACATCATCATGTACTGAATTTTGATGTCAA